AGGGTTTAGGGTTTAGGGTTTAGGGTTAGGGTTTAGGGTTTAGGGTTTGGGGTGTAAGGGCTACCCGAATTTGGCAACCCCAGGTGGTGGTTTTCGGACTGAGCGTGCGCGATCATGCAAAGCACCTTTTGTGGCTTAGTGGGAGTTCGGGTTCAGGGCTTGGGTTTTTGTGTTTCTGGGCCCCTGTTCGTGTGGAGGCATTTTTCAAGAGCAGCGTGAAGGTCGTCAAGCGGAATGTGAACAGCCGCTTGCCTGCAAAGAAAAAGGAGGAGCCGTTAGTGGGAACCCCATCTAGTTCAGGTTTAGACGGCCATATGAGGGTCATTCAATGTTGCAATGGTTTTATATACATATATGTATGTATACACATGTTTATGTATATATATATATGTATACATATATACATCGTGCATACCTTATGTATGCTTGCACACCTGTATGTATGTATGTATCAGCGCTAAGGGGTTGCATGTTTGGGCTCCCTTCGGGGTTCTCACCGTTTCCCATTGAGTACCAGTACCTTGTTCCCCCACCCAGGACCCACAGTTTTGTCTGGCTACACCTGCCACCCGGACCCGGCATTTACGGTTCTACGGTACACATTCCTAGGGGCAGCCCCTAACTAACGAGCCGAGCCCACCAAGTCGCAGGGGTGCCCGCTTGCTCCAAAAAAAGCCGTAAGATCAAGTGCCGAGGGCTTGAGAGGGGGTCGAGGGTTTTCGGGTTTTTGCGTCTTCCAGAGGTGTCTTGGCACCACCCTAGACCCTAAACACTAAAACCTCAGACCTCAAACCCTATACCCTAAACCCTGAACCCTGAACCCTGAACCCTGAACCCTAAACCCTGAACCCTGAACCCTGAACCCTGAACAAGGGCGACTCGGTTTCGGGAAAATTGTCCCGCGCTGTAGGCCACGACTTCGACATGCAGCGTGTGCAACGTCGGCTGAAGATGCACGGGAAGGCGAGATCAGGGCTTGAGGCTTAAGGGACTTAAGGGGGTTTAGGGCTCAAGGGTCTTGGGTGTTGGGTTTGGAATGCAGGGTTTGAGGTTTATGGCATAATTGGGGTGTAGGGTTTGAGGTTGCGTGTGTAGGTTACATCAGTGGAGGCGTTGCCGGGAGTAAACCCTCTGAACTCTCAACCCTAAACCCTAAACCCCAAACCCCAAACCCCAAACCCTTTCTTTTTGCTGCTAGGAGTGAAGGCAGATGGGCCGCCAGGTTGCCAAGATTCGGCTTCTTGAAGAGCTTAGGCTTTCAGGGTGTCCTGGGCGTGTAGGCACGTATTCCACTTTTAGGGTTTAGGGTTTAGGGTTTAGGTTCCCTGTAAACCAAAAAGGGGCACCCTTGTTTGTTGCCAGGTTACTCTTGGGTCTCGGTATGGACTTCTGCTACCCTAAACCCTTGGCTCCTAAATCCTAACACCTCCCCAAAACCCCTAAGGCCGAGGCCCTGAACCCCCTACAGCCCTAACACACCTTGAGCCCTAAACCCTAAACCCTAAACCCTAAACCCTAAACCCTAAACCCTAAACCCTAAACCCTAAACCCTAAACCCTAAACCCTAAACCCGAAAAGCCAAAACATTCGGGGGAACGCTCCTTGCCCCGGCACAGGACGCGGAGAGCGTGCTGCTCCACACCACAAATGGGCTCGACCCGGAGTACTTTGGCCGGGGCACCTGGAGACCTCTTAGATTCGGGTTTAGTGTTTAGGGGTTTAGGCAATAGGGTTCAGGGTTTAGGGTTCAGGGTTTCGGGTTTAGGGCTTAGGGTTTGGGGTTTGGGGGTTTAGGGTTTCGGGTTTAGGGTTCAGGGTTTAGGGTTTCGGGTTTAGGGCTTAGGGTTTGGGGTTTGGGGGTTTAGGGTTTAGGGGTTTAGGGTTTCGGGTTTAGGGGTTTAGGGTTTGGGGTTTAGGGGTTTAGGGGTTTAGGGGTTCGGGTTTAGGGGTTTAGGGTTTCAGGGTTAGGGTCACTGAATGTCACTGATGTAGGGCATGGGTCTTGCTGCATATACCTTATAGGTTAGGCTATGTCTTGTTGATGCGGAAATATTTGGCATGTGGGCGGGGGGGGGGGGCGGGGGTGGTGGGCGGGGTTCACTCTCGGGGGCACATGCGAAAGTTCCTTATCGCGATGACCCCTAGACCCGAAAGAAGGGTTTAGGGTTTCCAAACCCTAAGTCCACAATCGCACTTTGGATCATCTAATGGCTACTCCACGAGCTCGTAGCGTAGGGTACCAAGACCGGCCTCCCTGCGAGACTTCCCTGCGCCGCGTAGCTGCGACTGCCGAAGTCATTGCCGGGCTGCAGGGAGCATCGACATGGGATCCCTCTGGGGAAGTTTGTTGTGACAGCCGCTAAAGGGGGGGGGGTTGTTAAGCTGTGCACCTTTCCAGCCCGCATCCCTTATCCCACAGCCCAACACCCTCAACCCTGAAACCCTAAAACCCCTCAACCCTGAAACCTTTTAAATCCCTTGCAGCCAGACACAAAGGCCACTGCCGTGAACTCCTAAAGACCCTAACTTGGAAGGTCAGTGGTACCCTTTACCCTTCTTTTTGGTGATGGGTTCACTTGTAAAGTAAGCAACCCCAAAAAGGGTGCCCTTATTAGAACATGGCTACTGGGCTACCAAGCTAAACCCTGAAACCCTAAAGGCCCTAAACCTTGAAATCCCCTTTGAGCCGAACACAAAGGCCGGGCCGTGAATTCACTGCTGAAGAACTCGGGGTCGTCCTGCCCTGGATTTTGGGGTGTAGGGTTTGGGATTTAGGGGTCTTAGGCCCTAAACCCGAAGCCCTAAAGCCTAAACCCTAAACCCTAAACCCTAATCCCTAAACCCTAAACCCAAAGCCTTATGAAACGGTTTCAGGGTTCAAGGGTTTCGGGGGCATCAGATGTCAGTGGTCATTCTTGGTGCACGCAGGGACTCACAAACGCCTGAACCCTAAACCCCTAAACCCCCCACGGACAGAGCAGTAACTTTTTTCGGCGCCGGCAGAACCCAACCCGCAGTCATTTGTGCTACTGTTCTCATGTTTGGGGGGGGGGGGTTGCCCTGGGTTTGATATCTTGGTTTTAAGGGTGTTGGGTTTTGACTTTGGGGTACGAGCGGGCAAAGGGATGAGGACATGGACCCAAGCTCTGGAACTCGCACTTGCCGTAGGATTCATGAAGCTTAATGGCTTATGTACGGAGTGAGCGTGCAGTGAGTGTCGCCCGAAAACCCCAAAACCCCCCCCCCCCCCACCCCTGAACCTAAATCCCAAACCCTAAGCCACCCCAAACCCTGAACCCGAAACCCGAAACCCGAAACCCGAAACCCGAAACCCTAAACCCTAAACCCTAAACCCTAAACCCTAAACCCCACGCGGGGGCGGGCCACAGGATGGCTGCAGCCTCGGCGCTGTCGGGCTACGAGAGCGGGCAGCACAAGCAGGGGGCCCCCGGTGGGAGGGTTTCCATGGGTCCAAAGATGCCCAGAAAGATTTTGGGGGTTTAGGGTTTAGGGTTAGGTCATCTAGGTGTAGGGTTTAGGGTTTAGGGTTTAGGGTTTAGGGTTTGGGGTTTAGGGTTAGGTAATTTAGGGGTCAGAATAAATACTAATCGTTTTCCCTGATGGTCCCTTTGTAGTTATGCGAGAATAACAACCACCCCCAAACCCTGTTCTAATATTCAGGCCCGTATCGTGCTTGGTTGGCCATGGGCTTTCGGGACCGCAGGGGGGGGCAGCTCGTGGGCTACTTACCCTCGGGTTTAGGGTTTAGGGTTTAGGGGCAGGGGGGGATGCATGTAGAAAAAAGAGTTAAAGCTGTAATTTAGTTGACAGGTAGTCCTTCGACAGAAGATCATGCCGATGGTTTGAAGATGAAGGCTTTCAGCAAAGCTCGTTGAGTCAAGCAATCTCTAGGCACCCCTCGGAGCCATGGCGCAAAAGACCCTTCGGGTCACAAGCGCAAGTGGGGATGAGAGGGTGGTCTCTGTGGCGGATACGACCACTGTGAAGGAGATGGCACGACAATGCCGAGGAGATGGCGTTCAAGATCGTCAAGCAACTTTGGTACGAGGAGTCACGGTGCTCGAGCCAAGGATGACTGTGAAGGAAGCAGGTTTGGAAGACGGGGAGGAAGTTTCTGTGGCTTGGTAGCCCAGTGGTACCCTTTACACTTTTTTTTGGGTTATGGTTTCCCTTCGAAAATGTCCAACCCCCCAAAAAGGGTGCCCTTTTTAGAACATGGTTGCGGGGCTACCAAGGTGGTGTGGTCCGACCCTTTTGTTGAACTGGCAAGCTGGGCAGGTGAGGAGCTGGATGGGTCTCTGTATGTTCAGATCCCAGCAGAAGTCACACGCATTGAGGATGAGGCATTTTCCAACTGCGCAGCATTGCTGAAGATCGTGTTTCACGATGCAGTGACCAGCATAGGCAGAGGGGCCTTTTCTGGCTGCAGCGCCCTGAGGGAAGTAGAAATCCCCAACTCTGTGATCCGCATTGAAGGGCAGGCTTTTGCCAACTGCAGTTCCCTCACGCAAGTCAGCATCCCATGCTCAGTCGCCAGCATTGGAGACGGGGCCTTTGCTGGCTGCAGCTCCCTGCGAGAAGTAGAGATCCCAAGCTCTGTGACGGGCATTGGCAGGGGAGCCTTTCACAGCTGCAGCTCGCTGGCGCAAGTGGAGATCCCCCACTCCTTGCGCAGCCTTGCAGCCGAGACCTTCTACGGCTGCAGCTCCCTGACGCACGTAAAAATCCCGAACCTTGTGACGGTCATTGGGCAACGGGCCTTCGCCAACTGCAGCTCCCTGACACAGGTTGATATTCCGAGCTCCCTGAGAAGCATTGAGGCATTTGCCTTTGAAAACTGCACTTCTCTGACGCAAGTGGCCATCCCCGACTCGGTGATCAACATCGGCGATCGTGCCTTTGCCAACTGCGGCTTGAGGCAAGTGAGTATACCTGACCTTGTGGCCAGCTGGCTCCAGCCTCAGACTGCAGCTCGGTGACCCACCAGATTGGTCACCTTTATAACTCCATCGCCTTACGTCAGCATCCTCTTGACCACCGCGGCTTTTGAGGCAACCAGTGCCTGACTTTGAGTCTCTGACCTTGGATAGATCCCCAACCCCTGCAGAGCAATATTGGTCTTTGCCAACTGCGCCCTCCTGACCGAAGTTCCTGGAATGAGCGGACAGTCCTCCTTTGAGCGGCTGAACGGTATTGATCGTGCACAACGAAGGGAAGAACTAGTGATGTGTGTGAAGGCTTGGCCTTCTTGCATTTATGTTGATCTGTTGTCCACAAGCAGCTTCAGCTGGTAATGATCAGCAGTGAAAAAAGATAGACTCAAACTGTTGCGCAACATTGCCACTTTGTTCTTTTGTTAGGAACGTACTGTAGCGGTTCCATGTTGTTGTGGTGAAGATTCAGTGTGTTGTCTGGACAGACAAGAACCACTGACAACCAAGATGGGGCTGGGGCCGATATTTCTCCCAGGCAGGCAAAGTGGACGCAACAGTTGCTTGGGGTTTAGGGTTGAGGGTTTCGGGCTTAGGGTCTGGGAGTCTAGGCTCGTCATAAGGAGGCGAGAGAGCAGAGGGGTTGTTGGGCGGCTTAGGCTTTGGGTTCCTGGGAGCTTCGGGGTTGGCTTTCTTGATGCGGAATAAAAGAGGCCCTGATTTTGCAAGTTTGTTGGTCCCCCAAGCCCTCAGCCCTAAACTCCAAAACCCTAAGCCCCAAACCCTAAACCCTGCAAAATACGGATTCAGGGTCACGGCTCAGCATTCCCGAACTGTTAGGGTTTAGGGTTTGGGGTTTAAGTTTCGCGTTTAGGGCCGGGTTTACAGTTTGGTTTCGGGTGGACGGTAGCCGGCCCAAGGCTTTTCACGAGCTACGCGCAGAACCTCCAAGACACGCGTCCCGTGGTGTGCAACAAAGACGGCCAGAGGGGCCGTGATACAGGAACGAACCTTATTTGGTTCATGAATACTTAAAGGTAGGGTTATGGGCAGGGAAACTCTGGTTACAACCTGATTAGGGGACTTGTAACCCCACTTACAAGTACCGGCGAACCTTCAAGTAAGAAGCACATTGTTTCTTCACTGGTAATCCCTGCATAGTCGTGTCATAGACTACCCAAAATAGTTTTTTGATGAAGCAAGACTATATGGGTTTTCTGTCAAAATTATAATCTCTTTTGGGGTACCCTAAAATATTAGGTGCCGTATTATAATCGGGATCCAAAGAAGGACCATAGTTCTGACAACCGCCCATATGTTGGTATTCCCCGGAAGTGCGACAATCCTTAAACCAAAAGGGCACCCGGTTGCGTGGGCCCCTGGGCCCCTTTCCCCCCAATTGGCATGCGTTGGCATAGGCTCCCATAGTCATGACCCACCGAAGCCTACTTGGTAAGCCTGGAGGGGATCCAGCTTTCCAGCTGTCTAATGGTTGGGTCCAGTAACAGTTTTACGCTATCGTCGTTTCGCATCGCCACTTCGCGCGCGTGCGCGCACGCGCGCGCGCGCGCGATGCAAGGAAGGATGCTGGCATGCTGCCCGGATCAACCCTAAACCCCAAAGCCCTCAACCCGTAACCCCGTAAACCTGAGGGATAGGTTCCCTTCATAAAAAGGAAACGCTTTTCATTCCTGGGTCTGTACACACTAAACCCTAAGCCCTGAACCCTGAACCCTAAACCCTTCGGAACCAGTAGGGGAAAGCCGAGGGCTCGCCTACGAAAGCCTGGTGTCGGCCTCAGGGCGTTTGCCGGTGTGCTTCCGAGCCTTACGAGAGCCCACCACGCGTCAAGTAAGGTTTAGGGTTTAGGGTTTGGGGTTTGGGGTTTAGAATTTCGGGGCTTAGAGCCTGGAAAATTCAGAAGAAGAGTTTAAGGTTTGCTCCTAGAAGCTATGGGGCATCGGGCTCCAGAGGGTAGAGTGCCTTTGGTTTCGGGGGGCGGGTTGAAATTGTCTTTTTGCTTCTCGCAGAATTCAACCTTTTGGGGCTTTGGAGGTTTTGAGATGTTTTTGGAGCCCTTGGGGCGGCTACACGGCTTGGGGCGGCTACACGGCTTGGAGGGTTTAGGGTTGAGAGGCGCAGGGCACCAAGACCATCATGCGTTTTTGACGCGAGGGAGGCCGGACTGCAGCCTCCGGAGCTAAACCCTAAACCCTAAACCCTAAACCCTAAACCCTAAACCCTAAACCCTAAACCCTAAACCCTAAGCCCTAAGCCCTAAACCCTAAACCCTAAACCCTAAACCCTAAGCAAGGCGCCCGTGCCTGTGGATGCGGAGAGGCTACCTGAGCTGGTGGAGGCGGCTCGGAAGAACTGAAGAGGGCTTTGAGGCTTCGGGGGCGACCCTAAACCCTAAACCCTAAACCCTAAACCCTAAACCCTAAACCCTAAACCCTAAACCCTAAACCCTAAACCCTAAACCCTAAACCCTAAACCCTAAACCCTAAACCCTAAACCCTAAACCCTAAACCCTAAACCCTAAACCCTAAACCCTAAACCCTAAACCCTAAACCCTAAACCCTAAACCCTAAACCCTAAACCCTAAACCCTAAACCCTAAACCCTAAACCCTAAACCCGAAACCCGAAACCCGAAACCCTACTTGGAGGTTCGTGGGTACTTGTAGCCCCAATTATAAGTCCACCTTGGGCGCTTTTTAGTACAGCTAGAATTGAGGTTATAACCACCCTGAATCTCCAAGTACTCTGGTACCGTAGGGCATTGAACCCGGAAAGAAGATCCGAGGGTTTTTCGGGTTTATAGGGTTTCTCGGGTTTATAGGGTTTGTAGGGTTTATAGGGTTTCTCGGGTTTATAGGGTTTGTCGGGTTTATAGGGTTTGTAGGGTTTCGTGGTTTAGTGTTCTAGGGTTCAGGCTTTGAAAGGAGCTCATACTATCGATGCTGGGTTACCAGGCTTCGACACTTCGTGGATGGGGCTTGGGCTTCGGGTTCCGGGTCCAGGGTCCAGAAACCCTAAACCCTAAACCCTAATCCCTAATCCCTAATCCCTAAACCCTAAACCCTAAACCCTAAACCCTAAACCCTAAACCCTAAACCCCAAACCCTAAACCCTAAAGCCTAAACCCTAAACCCTAACTTCGGGTGTAGGGGGCCAGGGTCCAGAGTTTCGGGTTTAGGGCTCAGGGTCCAGAGTTTTGGGGCTCGATTTCCCCCCAAATGCTGGAAGCCCCTCAACAAAAAAACCAAACAGCCCAAGCTCTCTCAGCCTATGTAGGGGTTGAGGTTCCCTGCTTATTGTCCTTAAGCCCTAAATCCTAAACCCTAAACCCTAAGCAGTGAAGAGGTTTAGAGTTTTAAGATTTGCGTTCAAGGCGGCGCAGGCGGCGTCCCAAGTGCTCATCACCCCGCTGGAGGACGCGCATGGACCTGCATTTTCTCTTGCAGGAGTTTCGAAAAGTAGGAGCAAAACCCTAAACCTAAAAAACCCTAAACTCGAAACCCTAAGCCTTAAACCCTAAGCCCTAAACCCTAACCCGAGCCCCCCTTGCTAGCTGCTAGCGCTGGAGGCCTGCTACTCGGAAGTAGCCAGGTGGCCCAGTACACTTCACGAAGGAAAGCGCCTTAGTTCACAAGGAGAGGCCCGAAAATGCGTTCGTTAAAGCAGGTCTTGGGGCCTCAAAGCAACCCTGAACCCTAAACCCTTCAAAGGGGTACTGAGCAGAGCAAGTGCAGCGGGGAGCTTGCAGCGCGCCGTCGAGAATCATTAGGGTTGAGGGTTTAGGGTTTAGGCTTTAGGGTTTAGGGTTTAGGGTTTAGGGTTGTGCAGATGGCAGTCTGCAATCCGTTTGCGAAGTTGCGTGTGTGATGCTTCGGTTTGGGGGACTTGGGGGTGTAAAGCAGAGCCTCAAGTGTACCTGAGAAGGAGAAGGACTTGAAGAATCACATGGAGCAGCAGAAGAAGAGTAAAGAGAAGCTGGACCGTCTGGCATGTATTCTTTATAAACCCTAAAACCCTAAACCCTTAACCTTAAAGCCCTAAAACCCTTAAACCCTTAAACTCTCAACCTCAAAGCCCTAAAGCCCTTTAATCCTTCAAACCCCAAGCCCTTGGCTGCTTGAGACAGCTGAAAAAGCTTGAAGATCGGGATCGAAGGTCTTTGGGGCCCAAGGCCTATTACGCAGGCAGTTGGGTAGAAGTGGGGTTGGGCCGGTTAGGGTTTAGGGTTTCGGGGTTTTGGGGTTTTGGGATTTGGGTTTAGGGTTTAGGGTTCCCAACAATGCTGCATGTGGCAGTTGAGGGCAGAAACGGGCCCGAATGTTGAGAACTTACTCATGGACCTTCCAGCAAGTGCTGCTCGCGAAGGAGTCCCGTAAGGATGGAGGTTCAGTGTCTCCCAAGCCTGATGCCCACGTCCCGCCAGAAGCACCCAAACTTGACCTAAACCCTGAACCGAATACACTGCCCTAAACCTTAGCTCCCCTAAACCCTAAACCCTGCACCCTAACTCCCCTAACTCTCCTAAAACCTAAACCCTAAAGCCTGAACCCTAAACCCTAAACCCTAAACCCTAAACCGAAAACCCTAAACCCTAAACCCTAAACCCTAAACCCTAAACCCTAAACCCTAAACCCTAAACCCTAAACCGCCTTGGCCCCCTTTCATCTTCGCCAGGTGTGGGAGCTGAAAGCTCAGCGCCTCGGCACTTCATGGGGTTTAGGGGTCGAGGGTTTAGGGTTTAGGGTTTAGGGTTTAGGGTTAGGGGTTTAGGGTTTAGGGTTTAGGGTTTAGGTTCAGGGGTTGGAGGGTTCAGGAGGGGGCTTATGAACTCAGCAACTAGGATCCCGACGATAACCCCTGCTGGAGATTGCTGCGGCAAGACGGTAAGGAGTATACCCTACGTTTGGAGTCTTCAGTGTTGGGGTGGTTGGTGTAGGCTCTTCTTGAGGCTCGTGGCCATAGGGCTTGTAAGTTTAGGGCCGTTTAGGGCTCAGGGCTTAGGGTTTAGGGCTTAGGGTTTAGGATTTAG